TTTGAAAACCCCTACATTAAAATTTTTTAACTTAATAACCACATGATTAGAAGAAGCATTTCTTAACAGCATTAACCTATTCAATAACATTTTTCTGAGCTAGGGTACATCTCTTTCAAAATTGGCTGTACATTTCTAGGTTTACAGATGAATTATTACGCTTATATAATCTTTTACTCATTATAAACTCTATAAGACATAAAATTAAATGAGGTTCCAACGTTTAAAAAAGATCTCCACTGCGTTGTCAAAATGCACAGTTTCATACAGAAAAATTCATTCCAAGGCTATTGACATTGAGACGTTTTCACCTGCATTTCTAATCTCTATATACATGACTATCACTGGTCACAGTCACCCACCTTCTGAGCTCCTCGGCATCTGAGCATGAATACAAACTCGTCAGGTAGACAGCCTTCCTCTCCCACTAGAGCCTCCATACTCTGCTATCCCTGCCACTGTCCACTGTGCTGTCAGCACCCCCATTTTATTTTTTATTTTATCGTCAAAAGAATTTGTATACGTTAAAGAAATTAAAAGCAGGAAAATTACTTAAGAAATTCTTTTTACATGCAGATGAGACTGTATATACATATATGTATGTGTATTTAACTTTTTAAAAAATTTATTTATATTGAGTATTTGTACATTCCATATAATACATATTAATCAAATTTAGACCTCCTCCTCTTCCCCATACCCCATCCCCCTCCACCAGATTTCAGGTATCTGTCATATATGTTAAGTCCTATTTTGTCAAGCATTTGTATCCAGACTCTAGATAGGCTAACTAAACTCCAGTGGAGACTGTATATTTTTATATATGTTTCTTTCTCCATGTTTTATTTCTAATGTTCCCATAAACTATCATAGCTTCAATGATAGTGTGACTTATTAAAATAACATGCAGAGCTTGGCACGAAAAAGGACCCAGACAAATGTCCTTAGTCACCATACCATTCTAGCCTTTCAATTGCATTTATTTTGCTTCAGTTACAGACTTTTATCTCTTATGCAATGAAATCAGTCAATTCCTTTGTATCAAAAAGCCTTTTGTATTTGGTGAGAATGTACCCTACCAAATAATTGCTTCCACCCACCCTACTTTTTAGATCTTCATGTTTGTAGGTGTTACTTCTGTAAGAAACAGAATCAGGAGGATGAGCAATTGCACAACACTACAAGGGAACAGTGGGTCTCAGTAAACAATATGAAAGATTGCATCTTCTCACTGGTGGTGTGGCTTGATGGAGTTCACCTTTCACGTCTCTCTATCATTGTTCATGCTTTTCTACCCTGAATGATTTGGATATCCACTGTGGAGCTGGCTCTGGAAGCCTGGTTGCCACTCTTATTTCAGACCCCAGCTTGTCTGGGGATGGGCTGTCCCTTGCCCAACTCTGTGACAGGGAGGGAAAAGAACTGCAAAACAGCCCAATCAAAAATACAACGCCCTTAAGAATAGGTGGAAAGAAAACTGTTTATTACGGAGGTTACAGTTGTTTATCCCAAAATATAAAAGTGCCTGAAGTGGGAAAGAGAAGCCCGGAGTTCATCCATGGTGAGAATGCTCAGTTGGGAGCTGTAGCTGGTTGGCTTAACTTCTGCAGTTGATTTCTACTGGATGCGGCTTGTGCCTGATTTGAAGATATTTGCCTTTTTATTTTATTTATTGTTATTTTATTTTATATGTATGAGTGTATTGCCTGTATGCATGTAAGTATACCTGTGTTGTACCATGCCCGTGAAGGTCAGGTCTCAGATCCCCTGGAACTGGTGTTATGGATGGTTAGTACTCTTAGCCACTGAGGCGTCTTTCCAGCCATGAAGATGTTTCTCTTACCTGCTGCTGTTTGCTCTTTCATTTAAGCCTGATTCTAGGGGACACTCTGCTGTGCCTGGAACTCTGCTGATGGCGAACTCCAGGTGGCTGTCTTAACTGGGCTTCTGCAGTGGCTTTCTGCTGGCTGTTTGCAAGTCTCTAATTTGATGATGTTACCTTTCTGCTGTTACTTGTTCTTTTTCTTGAAATCCTCACCCAAGGGGACACTGTGCTCTGTCCCAGACTCTCAATAGGGAATTCCAGCTGTCTGCCTCAGTGAGGCTTCTCCAGTTAACTTCTACTGGATGTTTTGAGCCAGCTCTTCAACAATGTTTTCTATCATCTATCTATCTATCTATCTATCTATCTATCTATCTATCTACTGTATAATCTATCTATATCTATCATCTATCTATGTATATATCGTATCTGTCTGTCTGTCTATCATCTATCATCTGTCTATCTATCATCTATCTATCTATCTATCTATCTATCATCTATCTATCATCTATCATCCATATCATCTATCATCTATCTATCATTTATCTATCTATTTATCTATCTATCTCCTTGAATATCTATCATATGTCTATAAATCTACCTATGTACCTATCTATTGATCAATTAGCTTCATGTAGGAAAAGGAACAAACAACAGGCCAACTCCAAATAATAGACATATAATGGAGCCAAGTTCGAGAGGCCAATGGACTGTATGTCTTTGAGCACCACAGCTGAGCACGGGAAAAGCCCAGCTATCTATCTATCTATCTATCTATCTATCTATCTATCATCTATCTATCATCTATCATCATCTATCTATCTATCTATCTATCATCTACCATCTATCTATATCTAGCTATCTTCTATCATCTATCTATCTCATCTATCTATCTCAGGTATCTGTTCACGTCTCTCTATCATTGTTCATGCTTTTCTACCCTGAATGATTTGGATACATATTTTCCACCTTCCGTATTGCCATCATATCTTTCTCCTTTAGGATTCTTCCCTAGAATTCATTTACATACTAGTGTCACAACATTGAATAAGAAACTATTGTTACTCTCTAGGAAGTAAAACTCTAAATACTCTGGGACGGTGATGGGTGTTGACAAGCGGAACAAGAGCCGTAATAAAAATGAGCACAATTTATTAGTGGAAAGTTGGAGAGAGGTGATAGCTCTCATATGGATGAGAGGATGGAGAAAATATTGTAAATAATGTGAAATGACACTCTTGTATTCATTAAAGATTCTAATGTTCACCTCCTCTTGACTGTGAGAAAGCCCAAAGAATTCTGTAGCTTACAAGTTTTGGTGTTTTGGGATCTTCCATTTAGTTCATTGTACCTAGATCTGTCTAGTGGGATAGCATCTCTGATAAGATACTATTTTGCAAGGTTAATTTATTTAGTTTTATTTTATGTGCATGAGTGTTATGCTGGTTGTATGTAAGTGCACTTTTGATGTTGCGCAGTGACTGTGGAGGCCAGGGGAAGGTGTTGGATCCCTTGGAACTGGAATTAGAATGGTTGTTAACTGTTATTGGGTGTTAGGGTTCAATACCAGGTCTTCTGCAGGAGCAACCAGTTCTCCTAACTGCCCAGCCATCTCTCCAGCCCTATTTTGTGGTTTTAAAAACTCGTTTTTGTTGGAGGGCTGGGGACCTGGCACACTTACTGCTATTCTAGAAGATGTGGGTTCAGCTCCCAACACCCACATGGCTGCTAACAACCATCTATAAATCCAGTTCTAGGGGATCCAACATCCTCTTCTGGCCTCTGTGGACACTTCAAACTTGTAGTGTCTCACATGCATGAAGGCAAAAATGTTCATACATATAAAATAAAAATAAACTGTTAAAAGTCTCTTTTATGACATGTGTAATAATAGCCCTGCTTCTTCTTCATTAGGTTCACCAACATAACCCCAAATCACAGTTATTTGGGAACCTTTTATTAATTGCTGGGAAGTATGCTCAAGAGCTTTAGGGCTTTATCTCATTTAACTGTGTAACATGTTTGTTGTCACTTTGCAAAGAAGGGCACCGATGTCTCAAAATCCACATTTTTGAGGATCTGCCCATTACTGTTATAATACTAATCTTTCTTTATACCAAAGACTAGATAGAGTACATTTCCAAGATTCTTTCAGACCTCATCGGTAGTTCTATGACGCTGTACTAGGTCTATTAATCTGGGAGTAAACAAACAGTGCCAGTGAAGTAGTACACAGCTGCAATCTTAGCACGTGGGAGACTGAGGTTGGAGGATCAAGAATTTGAGACTATCCTGGGCTATATGGAGAGACACTGTGATAAATAAATGAATAAATGAATAAAACAGTAAATAGGCTTCAACTGAAATATAAGAAAGTTTTTAGAGGTGGAATCTATTAGAGAAGAAATAGCTTCAGGTGAGGATAGGGCAGAA